TAACAACAAAAACATTTTTTATTTGCAGGAATTGCCTAATGGAACAAATCCATGCACAGTCCTTGGAGCACAAGATGGTAGGTGAAGGGCTATGAGCAATACATAGGTACACCATGTATCCAGAGACTTTTATTGCTTATGTTTTTGTCAAATGTGTTGGTACACATCTACATAGCACACAGGAATTATTGGTTTTTGAAAAAGTTCTAAGCAAGTCACTCCCACAACATTGACAGAGCAAGTCAGTAGAATATAAAGTGAAAGCAAACCCCACTCCTTACTAGCATTGAAAATGTTAACCAAATTTAAGTAATGAAATATCTACAAGAAAATCACCAAGCTCAGAGAGCACCAAGGTCCCCACAGTTCAACTCTCATCCACAAATATCCTGTTTTATCCATATTGATAGAATGGAATGTGTTAGCGTATTACAAAGTTCCCTTATCTACAGCTAAAACAGATGCCTCCTTATATACAGTTAAAACAGATGTCTCTTTATCTTAGAGTTAAAACAGAAGTCTCCTTAAATGGGCATTTTATCTTTCCTATACATATGTTTTTCTATGCTGTATATCTTCCTTTACATGGGCTTTGCTACGTGATGTGCCCATTTATTTATAACAGGAACTAGCCTTTATAAAATGACATTACTACTGCCTATGCAACTTTTCATCAGTTCTTAATTTTTAAACATATCAGGAAAATATTCCAACACAGGTTTATAGAATTAAGTATGTATTTATCTTATTGTGATAAAGTTGAAGTGCTGTTGTTTCTGTTCTGTATATTCAGAGTTACCAGATCAAAAAACAAAGGTGAAGTGGAATATTTTATGGAAGTTTTTCAGGTTGTGTAAGCAGCCCAGAGGAGTTAATGGAACAAGTGCAGAATATAAACAAGTCTGTAACAATCAAAAGGCCCAAATTCAAACAGCATTCAGATTTCAGTGGAAAGAATAGAAGAATGGAGGAGAATTACAGTGGAATATTATAGCTAGTGGTGTGGAATATTATTAGCAGTACTGATTTGTAAATTTTGATGGTATCCACTCATTGACCCCCGTCATAGGTGTGATTCATAATGAAATACAGTGTCTTTTGAATTTGGAATTCATGAGGCATGGATCAACCACTTTTAATCTCATCCTTAAGATAACCATAATAACCATACACATTTCCTGGAAGAAAAAATATGGGCTACAAATATTTAACCTGCCTATTCCAGTGAAAACATATATTCCTTCTAGATTCAGGGTGGTTTTTACAAAGCATTGTGCTGATGTAACCAAATGAATTTCATGCACAGCTGTGTCTACAATTATTTGGAAAGGTTCAAAACAACTTATTAGAACTCACGTTTCAAATACAGAATGTCCATTCTAAAGAAGAGCGATCATTTTATTTTATTTATTTATTTATTTGTTTATTTGTCAAACATGTACAAGATAGCAAGTGTAGATATAAACATATTTATTTATTGGTTCGATTTATATGCTGCCCTTCTCCAGAGTCTCAGGGCGGCTTACAATGCGTTAAGCAATAGCCTTCATACTTTTGTATATACCTGCTTAGTAGGGCTTTTGCCCCCCCCAAGCGGTGTAACATAAACATAAACAAAGGAAGTAAGTACAGATAAAGGGGGACAGTAAGACGAGGATGACGGTTTGTTCATCATCTCCTGCTTTAGATGAGATGAGAGAGCAACTCTTAGTAACAAAGAATTTAGTGGAATTTTAAAAACCTCAGTTAAACTAATAGGTATAATAATGAATGCTTCTAAAGAATAAAATAATCTCTGGATGATTGTCTTGGCCTTTGTAGATTGCTGCGTGGCTTGAAGGCTGTTTGGTTTTTTTGGGGGGGGGTTTCTTTCTTTCTCTTTCTAATGAAAGTCATAGGTTCCTGGTGGGAATGCTGCTTTCCCTCTGTGAAGTGGCCTTTGGGGTTTAATTACCAACTGCCACCTGAAGAATATGTAGTTTGGCCCTAGGAGTTCACTCTGACTTCTGATTCTCTAGAGTTCTATGGCAGTTTTCCAACTGATGTCCTTGTTATTTGCAATAAATGTATACACTAGAGTTCCAGCAATCACATTTGCTTCTGTAGGAAATTAGCACCCACCCCTTTCCTAGAAGAATGAAATATTTTAGGAAATATTAAAAGGGCAGAATATTATGTTTCCCTGGATGAGAAATGGAGAAGCATGTTTTAAGGATGAAGCAGCTCCCATCTTCCTGCCCCCACCCTTTGTCAATGGGCCAGAGGCAGAAACTCAATCTTTGTCAATGGACCATCATCTGCAACACAATAGGACCCATCTAGCAACAGAAACTCACCACATGGCACCTGGGAAGATTATATCAGCCAGCAAGGCTAGCTAAGACCCCCACTCCCTGGGAGTCTGACAACCAATCAGGATACTCTTTCTGGGCCCCAGGAAGTTCAAAGCTTGAGAGGGCATAAAACCTGGGGACTCACTGCATCTCGGCCCCTTTTCTGTTCAGGAACTCAAACCATGTGATCCTGTCCACCATTAAACCATCTTTCCAAGCAGTCTCCATGTTTCCAGTGTCTTTTTCCCCACTTGGAGCTGAACTCAGAAGGATATTTCTTCTAACAATTCCTTTTTTAGAAACATAAAGGCAGGCAATCTGTTGCACCTACAGGCAAAGAGAGCAAGGTTCAATTGTGCAGAACCGAATGGCCCCTCCATGATACAATGCAAATGTTGTGATGAAATGTTGTGATCAGGGATGTCAAACTCAAAGCCTGTAGGCTGGATGTGGCCCGCGGGGTTGTGGTTAGATCTGACCCATGGGGCCATCCTGGAAACAACAAAGGACCGGCCCGCAGTGCCTCTGCCAGTGAAAACGAAGCTCGGGATGTCTGCGTGCGGCCCTCCCGAGCTCCGTTTTCAGTTGCGACGGCCTCCTGCAGCCCTCTGCCATCAAAAACGGAGCTCGGAAGGACCATGTGAGAAGAAGGCAAAATCATTTCCCTCTTCTATTCTTTTGTCACCACCACCACTTAATCCACTGATCTAGACTCTGAGGAACAAAGAGGTATATAAACCATCTGAAGAATAATGAAGATCAAGAATAAAGAAGATCAATAATGAAGGCGAAAGACTAATGAAGGTCATTTATTAACTTTATTCAACAGACCAAGACCAATACTTTTAACAAATGCTCATTCAAATACTCCAAATATGCTCCAAAGACTAATGACGAAAAACTAAACCTAGTAGCTCCCAGCTTCTTTCAGAAAAACAACATGATTCATGGTAATCACAATGAGGATGATGCATATAATTACAGGAGCAGTTTTCAGCACACCAGTGTGTTTTATTTTTATTGATCATGTATATTGCCTTTGGAATAATCCAACAAATTATACAGTGTTGGAAAAATTGGCATTTAACTAAAAGCATTTCAAGAGTTTAAAATAGGTAATTTAGTCATCCCAGTTCTTAATTAATCTGAATTTCCACAAATATGCATTCTAATGGATTATAGTGTGTACACATAAATGATTACCCATTTTAACTAATTTGCTACTTTTGGCCTTCAAAACTCTAAACAGACCGGGAACTGGACCAGAATACATCAAGAGCCACATTCCTGCATAGGTCCATTCAACTCCTGAGCCGTTTCCTTGACCCTTTGCATTAAATGTGTAGTCAATGTGTATTGGAGAGAGAAGGTCTGGAAGTGGAATATCCTCTCCAAGATAATGAACTCAGCGATTCATGCTGTTGCTGTTGATAGTGCTTTAAACTAAACGCTGTAAAAGAATGAAATAGACAGGTTATTGATGGAAAGATACTTAGTTTAATAAACCCCACATTTAACAATGGTTTATTAGTAAAAAGATGAGATATAAGTTAAAAAAATACATATGTTTATGTATGAAAATAAAATAAATTTGTGCAATCCTTTGGAAGAAGTGTGTTAAAACACGCTAGAGTGCAAATGCAGCACACATCTGCAACTCAAGTAATGTGTTTTTCAAATAGCTGTGGGAGGTTTGCATTTCACTTTTTCAGTTCCATACTTCTTTTTTACATTTTTAATACATTAAATCCAAACAACAACAGAGAGAATACGCATAATTTGCCTTTGGATATGGATAATGGGGATCTTTAGTTTACTATTTGTAATAGGCATACTCAAAATGAATGTAATTCCCACAATAGTCTGTATTTTGCATGGAATTTGCATGGAATTCTCAGGGAGAAGGGCTGTTAAGAAATAAGAAATATCGATCAATCAATAAATATCTATTAAATTTGCATTATACTGTTCTGTTAATTTCTATGGGGTTCTTCAGTTCTGAAAGTATCTTTGAAAAAGATGTAGAGATTGATTTCCTGAATCTCGAATTGTGCCATTATGCATACTTTCTGACCAATAACAACTTTTGGAAAGTTTCACGGTGTAAATTGTCTTTACAATAAATGGTGTGCCATACAACTGTGAAAAATGTAGGATAGGGTATTCTCTGCATTATGGGCTCCAATCTGACCCTTTATCTTCATTTTATTGCCCCGTTCAAACATCTCTGGTTCTCTGAGACCGCTTGGACAAGTCCCTGCATCGGTTTTTGAGCAAGCTTTACTTGCTTGGAAACTAACTTTGCAGGCTTATATATGAATGCAGCTCCTATCAGGAAAAAAAAATGAGTAGAAACTCAACACTAGACCAGGGGTGGCCAACTGTGGCCCTTTTACAACCTGTGGACTTCAACTCCCAGAATTCCTGAGACAGCCCTAGAGGAAAAGGGAATTCTTGTATAGACAGTCTAGCGCTTTTTCTTTTCTTTTTTCTACTGCTCTTGAAAGGGTAGCCGCTCTGCGCTTCCGAGCTTGTCTCCCCAGGAAATCAATTGTGCATTCTTTCTGAGACTGCACATGGAGTTACATTTAGAAGCCGGCGACAGTTCATAAATGGGCAGAGAGCAAAGGTATTATTATTATTATGATGATTTTTATTATCGATTATACTGATGATTATGATTCGAGCGTTTGGACTTTAAAATGCAATTACGAGCTCCTCCGCTAAACTGCTAACATACATTACACTTAAGATTTGCAGGGTAGAAATTGCATGAAAACTTAAATTGCTCGATTTTTCTCAGCTCGAAGCGACCCTAGTGAGAAGAGGCGTTCGCAGCAATCCTGTTCTTCTCAAAAACTCAACCTTTCTTCACGTGTCAACCTTTCTTCACGTGTCTCTTACTGCCGGACTTGGATCCAGTCCCCATTATTCTCAGCCGGTGAAGCCACATTAATATGCTGGCCAGAAATGACTCAGATCGTCATCCAGCACACCGAAGAGCTTCCAAACAGGAGAAAATCGAAGTAGATCATCTGTTTCTTTTGGTGACTTAAGACCGCGAAATGCCAAGGCGGAAACCCCTTTTCGTCTCGATGAAGAGCATTTTTACTTTTCAGCGGACATGTTAAGCAGCGTTTGGGCAAGTTTAGTATATAGACAAAAGAGGGAAATGTATGACTTTGGAATTGTGGTTGAATTTCAGCTTGTATCAGTCCTGGTCACCATTGCCAATGGTGATCTATCATTTGGGAACATTTATATTTCTTTCGGCATTAAATTGCCGGTATACGTCAAAATTTCATTATCCCGGTACAGTATTAAAGTTTTGGAAAAATAAGACAGATCCACGTTAAATTCAAATTCAAATCTTTATTGTCAGTGCATAACATATATACAATGAGATTGGTTGAGCTCCCTCAATGCACCCCCGAACAAAAAAACAACTCACAGTGAAGACAGAAAATCCCTAACCCAATAAATCATATTAACAAAACACCCAGTCCTATTGCACCAGTGTGAACATGTTACACATTGCGCCGGCCCTGCAGTCCATCATACTGCATAGTTATGATGTTATTTCTCATTCAGGAGTCTGACAGCCCACGGATAAAAACTGTTCTTCAGCCTATTTGTGCGGCTGGCTATACTTCTATATCTCCTTCCTGATGGTAGGACGGTAAAGAAGTGATGACCAGGATATATTTTTTGAAAAAAGGCTAACAGAGTTCATATAACTGCATTGTATAGAATAATTCTCCCACTATTTATTCCAGGTTTTTTTTCTCTTTCTGGGTTTAAAGTTATATGGAAAGAAATCTGTCCCTATTTATTTGACAAAGAAGCAAATCCCAAATTAATAATTTTAATATTAGAACTGATAATGAATGATTGATTTGGGAAAGTGGCTTTTCCATGTAAGAGGAAAAAACACAAGCTTGCCAATCAGAAAAAGAAAATCAGATATTTCAAGTGGCCCTCAACAGCTTTTATTCTTAAGGCAGGGGATGAGTAATTATTCTGGGATCACTTTTGATTTTTATGATCATGTGTTATGTATTTTTTCCCCTATATAGCCTCTGCTTTACTTGGTAATTATGGAACAAGGAGGTTCCTGCTTTGAGTCAGAACTTGATTTTTGTCCTGAGTGTGGTACTGTCCTGCCCCTGCCAGGTATCCAGGATAAGGTGATATGTCCTTGTTGCTCTTTCAACATTGATGTGAAAGGTAAGTTCTTTTTTGTAAGTGTATATTTTACGGGAGGATTCAATTTCATAGCTATCAAGTTCTAAGCATACTTTTCAGTGCTCTTTTATTAGAATAAAATAGTAACTACTTCTATCTTTCCCACCTGAGTTCAATCATTTAATACTGTTGGAAGAAATACCCAGGTCCAGTTCCAAGCCAGGAGAAAGGCACTAGAAATAAAATGGAAGCTGATTGGAAAGAAAGGTTCCCTTTATTGATGAAGCAGAACCACAAACTACATGTGATTCTGGGACAGCTGACAAAATGGACTTTATAGCGTGGGTGGGTTTTATACCTTCTGGATTCCTATGGGGTCATGTAGGGGTCGTGGCTGACTCTATAGTCAAAAGGGGAAATGCAAATCCTAGGTGTTTGTCTGAGTTAATTTTGTCAACCTTTGGCTTGATTGTGTTGCTTATCTGGAAGTTTCTGCCTGACCCTGTCTTTCTGAATGGATTACCAGTTCTGCATTTCTATAAGATGGCCTCCTCAGTTTCTGCTTGGGACAGGGAAACTGGGACTGGTTTCTGCCTCCCTTAAGTTTTTTTCCATTTCTCCTTTAGGGGGAATATTCTAGCCTGCCTTTTTAATATTCCCCAAAATATTGCATTCTTCTGGTGGGTTCCCACAATACTACCACCATGTATTTCTGCACTTGAAGCAATGAATGGAATCTCAGTTAAATGCACCATTAGGGGGTGGGGTGTCTATTACTGTAATGAATATCCATTTAAATGGAAAATTATTCATTTTATGTTTAAATACGGAAACATGGTGTTTATCATGTGCTTAATTTTTCAATACAACAGAAGAGATTACAGTGTATCATTTATAACTAGAATACATCATTTCATAAAGAACACAATCTTTGAAAACAAAAAAAAAATGATACAAAAAGTGGTACCCTTGATTTAGATAATTAGTTGTCAGGGAAAAGTTGTAATTTAATCTCTTTCCTGACATGTTAGATTTGTTGGAAATAACAAAGCTTTAGTGATCTTGTGTTCCACTCCAAATTGTGAGAATATAAGAAACATTAGATGAAATATGAAACCAGTTTGGTATAGAGGTTAAGGCACCAGGCTAGAAATCGGGAGACTGTGAGTTCTAGTCCTGCCTTAGGCATGATGCCAGCTTGGTGACCTTGGTCCAGTCCCTTTTTCTCAGCCTTAAGAAGAGGACAAAGGCAACATACTTCTGAAATCTTGCCTTGGAAAATTGCAGAGACTTGTCTAGCCAATTGCCAGGAGTCAACATTGATTTAAAAGCACAAAAAATAAAAAAGAAGAAATTGACAAGGTTGAATTAAGGAGCACTTTAATCATTCTTCATACATTTTTTTTCTTTGCATAGATTTTGAAAAGAGAGTCATCCATACATCAGTCACATTCAACAAGATAGAATCCTCCTCTTTGACTGCAGAAGAAGGAAAAGAAGTCAAGGGCCCACTGGTGAGTGAATGAGAAGACTAGTTATTGGTTCCATTAAGCATCACAGGCATGTTGGTGTCAATAGGCAAATGATGTAAATTACATAATTTGCAACCGTTTGCTTTATTTGCATAATTATGTCACTCTTGCATATGCCATCTGGGTCACCCTGTGGTGACATGGGAAATTACAGACACCGCTGGGCCCCCATCAAACATTTAAAATAGGCTTTGACTATATTTTCTGGAAACAATTTTAGAAATAGTTGATCAATCTGGAATAGCTGCAGAGAAGGAAAATGAACACAAGAGTAGAAATGAATTCCATTGCTGAGAAGTCAAGTGAGTTTGGCATGTTTACCTTTGAGGAAAGACTAACTTTGTTCTTAGTTTTTTAAAAATTGCATCCAGGATATATAAACTAGATATAAACTTGTATAAGGGGACCTAGAGCTTGTACTCATAGCCAAAGGACTTAAAGGAATAAGTCCTCAATTGCACCTTAAGGATTCTGCCGTACCAACATCAGAAGGTGAATGCTTATTTTGTTTATTTCAATCTTTTCAGATTGACAGAAAATGTCCTCAGTGTGGGCATGAGGGCATGGCCTACCATACTCGACAGATGAGATCTGCAGATGAAGGGCAGACAGTTTTCTACACCTGCATCCAATGCAAGTAAGAGCTTCTATATGGCCCCTGTCCATCTACTTATGATGATGAGATGTTTTACGTTAGGTCGCATTTGTTTTGTCCCAGCTGTATGGTTTGCTTGTTACAGGACTCAACCTTAAATGTTAGGTTTAGCCCTTAAGACTGTAATCTATTTAGGATTTATGTATTTTACTATTTTTATTCAGGGGTTATCTAAATCTATACAGGTCTCCCCAAGAATATAAAACCATATTTTCTGGTCCACCAGCAGAAGCTGTGATTGTGGTACTAAAGGCAGAGGTTTTTCTGTGATAGCCTCACACCTGATGGTACTCCGTGATGGAAATATATCTGAGTTCCAGGAGGACTTTAAAGACTTGATTTAATTTACAATTCATTTTAGCATATGTCTTGTCCTCACTTAATGACAGTAAAGCAGCCATAAAGCACAATGTCATGTGACCAAGACTTTTAGTGATGGAAATTCCAGCACTCCTTGTTGCTGTTGTTAGAATAGAATAGAATAGACTGGAATGGAATGGAATGGAATGGAATGGAATGGAATGGAATGGAATGGAATGGAATAGAATAGAATAGAATAGAATAGAATAGAATAGAATAGAATAGAATAGAATAGAATAGAATAGAATAGAATAGAATAGAATAGAATAGAAAGTTTTTATTGGCCAAGTGTGATTGGACACACAAGGAATTTGTCTTTGGTGCATAAGCTCTCAGTGTACATAAAAAGAAAAGATACATTCGTCAAGAATCATAAGGTACAACACTTAATGATAGTCATAGGCGAATCATTGCAGGTTATATAGCAGGGGCTTCAAGAGGTTGCCATTTGCTGGATTGACCAGGGATTTTGCGGTGTCCCTGGGATCGAAAGAATGTGCCCTCCACTATCACTGTCTCAACGGGACGGTGAGGTCCAAAAAGGACCGTCCAGCGGCGGGGATATCGACGGTGGTCCTGGAGCCTCAGGATCTTTCGTCGTGCTGTCGCGACGTCAGCTCCGCCCTCTCCCAGTTGCAAATGGTGATCAGATGACCGTGGGATGTGTGACGTCATAATTTGAGCTGAGCACCAAGACCCACGTTTGCAGCACCACCATAGGAAGACTACATACACTACAAGTATGATGACTGATCATAACCACCACACTTATTCATCTCCAGTACTCGGCTGAGTTCTTTCCAAAGATAAGTATTGGGGATACCATTTGATGATGGTTCCAGATTTTTCTGCAGAATAGGTCTCAGACAAGTCTTCATTCTCTTGCCTATTCTGCTTCTGAAATCATCTAACTTGTCAGGTTATTTAGATTATGTATAAAACAAGTGGGAGAGTTGTACAGATGTTACAACATTAATTGCTGTTTGTAAAATGACTGTACATGAGTCATTAATTGATCCTGCATATGTTTTTAATCCGGTGTCAGCAATTCCATGGAACTATAATACATCTCAGAGTATTTACACTGTTTATTCTTTAAATTCTAGGTTCCAGGAGAAAGAAGATTCTTAATCACGTTTGCCAAAATGTGTGGAAGACAGTACTTAAAACTCCAGTTGTGACAGAGAATTATTTTTGGGTTTTTATGAAGAGACTGTAACGTTCTTAGATGCCTTAGAAGCATCTTGTTTGAATTGGATGATTGGCAGCTGGTGACCGATTGCACAGTTCAAATGAAAATGGAAACAGCAAAAACAGGACCCTACAAATGGCCTTGTAGAACTTCAAATCTCCTTTTCCTCAACTGTTTTGATCAGTGAAAGAACAATAATCAAAACGTGCTGAGTTGCAAGTTGCTCTTTATTACTACTGTTATGTATATTTATTTCCTTATAAATTCATGTTTTTGTTGAATTGTACTACTGGCTCCTCCTGCTACTATAAACTTCTGAGTTTTTCACAGGACAAGAAACAAGAGAGATCTTCCACTGTCCTTTGAATATGTTATGGTTTTATTCACACAGCTCTGAATTCTGTTTCAAAATGGAGTAAGAAGAGTCTGTGTGGGTGGTTGCTTAGCAATGCAATTGTATGAATTCCTCGTAATTCTATATTTTGCAAAACGATCTAATTCTTCTGCTTTGTGGCTCTTTGGGAAATTGATGTGAGACTGCATTAGCAAGTAAGTGATCATGATAGAAATAATTTGTGGTCTTTCTTGGGCTCCTTTTGGCCCTGTCACCAGACATTATGAAGAAGCTATGCAAATTTTCTGATTTTTATTAACGTGGGTCTCAACACTGTCTCTCCTTCAAAGATATGGGGCTGCTTGTGTAGTTTTTAGATATTGTACTAACTATAAAGTGCCTCAGAGGGAGACCACAGCTGCGATATAAGGATATCTGCAAGAGGGACCTAAAGGCCCTGGGAATGGACATTAACAACTGGGAAACGACCTCCGATCGTTCAGCTTGGAGGCTAAAGACACAGCATGGCCTTCTCCAATTCAAAGAGACACTTGTTCGGCAGGCTGAGGCAAAGAGGCAGTCCCGTAACCAGTGAAATCTGGGGACTGGGCAGGGGACATAATGTATTTGCCCTCAGTGTGGAAGGGGTTGCCACTCTCGAATTGGCCTTTTTAGTCACACTAGATGCTGTTTTAGGACCTCTTTCCAGAGCACGATACCATAGTCTTTTTAGACTGAAGGATGCCAATGTAAACTAACTATAGAGGAATAGGAGGCACTATTCAATCACTTTTGCCTTTATTGGGACTTTTCAGGCAATCTGCATCCTCCATACTCGATGTTTGATGTCCAAACTTTTAATAGGATTTGAACCCACAGGCCATGCACTTTGTGACATTTAAATAATCTTGGCCTGGCTGCCAATAGCCTACAGAAAAGGTAATTTTATAGAAGCTATGCAATTAATGCCTTCCTTTTCTTATATGCCTTCATATTAGCAAATTTTCTGATTTGGGACATGTAAGTTCAAATCCTGTTAAGCAGTTGAACATAGACCTTCTAGCATGAGGTTGTCTAGCCTGAATAATCCCAGTAACAACCAAACCTGGTGCATAGTGACTCCTACTGGTCAGTAGCTAACATAACATCAAAGCACCTTGAAGATATGAAAATGGTGTGAAGAGGGTTTGCTGAAGTTCATTGCAGTTGGATAGCTTAACGCTGATATGCAACCTTCACCTTTTGAATCATTGTGGGTCCATAGTACCTCATATTACAGTGCTATCTTCTATTACTCTGCCCCTCGGGTTTCCAAAATTTGAGTTCTTGATCGTATTCAATACAACACAGAAAACTGGGAATTGGCTTATATATTGAAAAGTGATAGGGTTATTTTATTCCAATTCTTCTCCAAGGCGTGGGCTTACCTCATACCACTCTAATTGGGAGGGAGGACAGAAGCATGCTCTTTGGTGGTGTTGCATAATTTGGTCATTTGGGGAGGTGGGCATCATCTTTTCAATTAGACTCATGCACTGGAGAGAATGCAACACATTACTATCTCTGATTTCTTCCAAATATCTGAACTACAGTTACTGGACTGATAAAGCAGTTTCCTAGTGGAATCTTGGAAAAAAGCCATTAAAGTCCTGCTTGTTTAAAGTTTGGACTAATTAGCTAGGGAATACTTGGAAATCATCTCAAATACAGATCTCAAATATTGTAGGAAATGGGTGATCAGCTATTAATGTGGGAAAGTAGTTTGAATTCCAAGTCAGCAATTTGCCTGTAATTACTGGCCTTAAAATATTGAAAACTACAATGATACCATCAAAAGAGCCTTGGTAGTACAGTGGTCTAAAGCACTCTGTTATTAAGACCAGCTGCCTGCAATTACTGCAGGTTCGAATCTCGCCAGGCTCAAGGTTGACTCAGCCTTCCATCCTTTCTAAGATAGGTAAATTGAGGACCCAGTTGTGGGGGCAATAAGCTGACTTTGTATAAATATACAAAAGGATGAAGACTATTGCTTAACGCATTGTAAGCCGCCCTGAGTCTCCGGAGAAGGGCGGCATATAAATCAAATAAAAAAATAATAATAAAAAATAATAATAATAAAAAAGAAATTTGTCACTTTTTCTATCTGGTGATACTCCACGTATCTAAAAGGATCTTTCAAGGATTGCCTGCATTTTGAGATTCTGTAACTGCTTCATGCCATCTTAGACAGATTCTTGGTGCTTTCTGCACAGATCGTCCCTAGAAAAAAGTGTTCCTTAGTGGACTGTTTGGAAATCTACTCTTAATGCAAAGGGATTTTATCAGAAACTAGCATCTTTGGGCAGCAGCCCTAAAGAAGCTAGTGCTTAAGGGAGCAGCTTTTATGTTTGCATAAACTGACAATGAAATCAACTGATCCTATAGTTTTTTATTCCAATTATGAATGGAATGGAATGGAATAAGGATAGGATAGGATAGGATAGGAATTCTTTATTGGCCAAGTGTGATTGGACAAAGGTCAGGTAAATATCAGGCTACAATGTGAGAATTTGAAATTCTTTTGATACTTTTAGGTTAAACTAGATAGACTTAGTGGTGAAAAATCGATATTTTTTTTTTTACAATCGAGTTTCTATGGTGATCCTCCGGTCAAAGCTTCGGGGCTGCCGTAAACGAAAGTCCGCTCTTTTCGTCGAATCCAAAATTTAGGATTATTTCATGCCGGTGATCGTAGATTAACAAGAGTTGGAACTTGGAAGGGACCTTGTAGGTCATCTAGTCCAACCCCCCTCCCCAAGCAGAAGACCCTACACCATTTCTGACAGATGGCAGTCCATCATCTTCAGAACCAAGCTCCGCCACCACGAGACCATAGGAAAACCGGGGGAATCGCTGGAAGGAAACCTTCCCATATCTTAGCGCGCTCAGCCGATTCTTTTTATTATTATTTTTTTTCGCACACGGAAGTGAGTCTGGAATCTCCACGGGGACCGGTTAAAGCGACGCACATGCGCCGGAAGTAGGAAGTGGGGTTGGAAATCGACGGCTGCGAGGAAGAGGCGTTGACTGCAGCGTGAGGGTGGGTGGGTGCTGCGGCTGAACAGGCGCCGGGAGCTGACCTGAAGCCGGGGTGGGCTCCGTCGAGTCCTGGAGCAGGGGGCTCCACGGATATCCTTCCCTTCCGGCAAGCAGCTCCATCCACGGCCGGGCTCTGCCGGCATCTTCCCCGCAACATGGCCGAGTCCACTTCTAGCAGGGGAGCGACCACGACCGTCACCGAGACGGAGGTGACCGAGCCGGTGAGGAGAGGGCCGGGGGGGCGGGGAGGGCTGTGGGGGTGGAGGGGGGGCGGAGGAGGAGGTGCAGCCGGCGTCATGGCAACCATGATGACGTTGGAGGAGGAGGAGGAGCCCCGCCCGGCGGAGCCTGGGCGCCTGCGGTTGCCGTGGCAACCACGAAGCGGGTCGGTGGGCTTCGGTGGGTGGCGGCGAGCAGGGCCGCGGCGAGCTTGGCCTGTGATGGAAAGGAAGGCTTACGAACACTTGGGCGGCCAATGGCTTTAAGTAGCGCAGGGCAGGTCTTTTGCCAGGTAGCTGAAGGCCTTGGGTTCCCTCAGGATGCTGAAGAGCATCTGGGTGGCAGAAGCCTTCGAGGGTGGGTGGGTGGGAGGGAGAACGAGGCTGCCCCCCCCACACACACACACCCAATTCCTGGAAACGGCTGGCTGCAATGGGAGTAGAGATGGACCCAGTCCATGGATCCATATTGTGAATGGTGCCCCGTCCAGTTTGAATTTTTTAAACTGGGTGTTCACTTAAAAAACAGTGAGCAGAGGCTTCTGTCTCAGAGTATGAATTAGCGCTAGCAGTAATGGGTTAGGGATTTTCTGTCTTCACTGTGAGTTGTATTGTGTTGGGGGGGTGCACTGAGGGAGTTCCACCAATCTCATTGTACATATGTTGTGCAGTGATAATAAAAGTCAATAATAATAATAATGATGATGATGATGATGATGATGATGATGATGCAAACTCAGGCTGACAGCTGTTGTAACAAAGCACTGCATGGACAGCTCCTTGAGAAGATCCAAGGAAAAGTAGATAAGGAAAAGACCTGGTTATGGCTGACCAACAGAACACTGAAGAAAGAGACAGAAGACTTGATTCTTGCAGCCCAGGAACAAGCCATCAGATCTAATGTAATCAAAACCAGAATAGAAAAATCTGCTGATGACCCTAAATGCAGACTCTGCAAAGAAGCGGATGAAACCATTGATCATATACTGAGCGGTTGCAAGACAATAGCTCAGACTGACTACAAACAACATCATAACACAATCGCTCAGTTGGTCCACTGGAACTTGTGTCACCACTACCATCTGCCTGTAGCAAAGAACTGGTGGGATCATAAGCCTGAAAAAGTGGTCAAAAATGAGCATGCAAAACTACTGTGGGACTTCCGAATACAGACTGACAAAGTTTTGGAACACAATACCCCGGATAACACGATTGTGGAAAAGAAAAAAGTGTGGATCGTCGACATTGCCATACCTGGTGACAGCAGAATTGACGAGAAACAACTTGAAAAAGTCACCAGATATCAGGACTTGAGAATCGAACTGCAGAGACTCTGGCATAAACCAGTGCAGGTGGTCCCAGTGGTACTCGGCACACTGGATGCTGTGCCTAAAGACCTAGGCAAGCACTTAAAATCAATTGGCGCTGACAAGATCACCATTGGTCAGCTGCAGAAGGCCACCTTACTGGAATCTGCTCGCATAATCCGCCGATACATCACGCAGTCCTAAACGCTTGGGAAGTGTTCAACTAGCGATTTGGGATACAAAATCCAGCATGGTCATCTCGTTTGCTGTGTATATTGTCATTTTGTATATAATAATAATAATAATAATAATAATAATAATAATAATAATAATAATAATAATAATAATAATAATAATAATAATAATAATTCCAAAAAAATTTGCCGGACTTGAACATTTTGACTCTACAAAAAACCACCTTACTCAGAACAGCTTACATCCTCCGACGATACCTTAACAGTTCCTAGGTCCTTGGTTAGGACTCGAGCTGCTGAGCTATTAACCAGCCTCAAAGGCTGTGAATCTCACTAAAGATTAACAATAATAATAAGAAGAAGAATCATCTCTTTTATTCATTAAACATGAAACTCAGTCAACTGAACATTTAAAAATGTGTCACAAATACGATTGACTGGTGCTAATGGTTGATATGGGTTGCATTCTAGGTATCAACCAAGTATCTTCTTAAAATATATGATGTTCTGAGTAGCGCAGGTTTTTTTGCAGTTCCGCTGGTGTTACTGCAGGAAGCTGCAATTTCTTGATGTTGTTTTGTAAAATTTTTGGACATAGTACCCAAGTGCCCTGAAGACAATGGGTATCATTGTTACGTTTCATTCATAGCCGTGTAGTTTCGATGGCCAGGTCGCGATATTTCGTGATTTTTTCCCAGTTCTTTTTCTTTGACTCTGGCATCTCCTGGTACAGTAATATCAATAAATTGTACGGTTTGACCCTCAACAACCGTGATATCTGGCGTGTTATGTTCCAAATGACAATCATCATCATTATTATTATTATTATTGGTTAATCTTTAGTGAGATTCACAGCCTTTGAGGCTAGTTAATAGCTCAGCAGCTCGAGTCCTAACCAAGGACCTAGGAACTGTTAAGGTATCGTATTATTATTATTATTATTATTATTATTATTATTATTATTATTATTATTATTATTATTATTATTATTATTATGTAGAGATTCTCAGTCATCCAGGTGATGGTGGTCCCAAAGGTGCTTTTTGAAGAGGCAACTGGACTTTCTGGTTTTTCTTTGAAGACATTTTGCTTCTCATCCAAGAAGCTGCTTCAGCTCTGACAGTGAGGAATGGAAGGATTTATATTCTTTGCAGACAGCTGGTCATTTGCATCCTTTTTAGAGGGTCCTTGAAGCCCTTGGAGGTTTATCTGTATCCTCAGGGTCTCTAAAGACTTTTAGAATACAGATACAGACTGAGAATCTCTACAGACTTTTAGCTATACCATTTGGGATGAACACTCTTTTGAATGGTGTGGGAGTAGGAATGAAAACTCTTCTTTTCCAGCAAGCAGGGCTGGCATGAACCCCGCCTCCTTTTTTAGTTTTTAATGGTTATTAATTGTTTAGTTTTAATCTGTTAATGGGTTTTAATTCGCATTGTTTTAATTCGGGCCAAAGTATATAATTCTTTTAATTAATTTTAAATTTTGTATTGTTATGTATTTTAGTTTTGGCTGTGCACCGCCCTGAGTCCACTAGGAGAAGGGCGGTATATAAATTGAATAAATAATAATAATAATAATAAATGATAGCTGGGCGCTTTTTTCAAAATTGTGGATGATTGATTCATCTATTGAATAGATGTATCATATCAAACATATCATTTGACTTTTCTTTATATTACGATACAGTATTTTGTTTTAGGAAGAAACATTGTGTTAAATGCCCTGATGTGATTGTTAGTGGATATAATATTAAAGTACCACATTGTGTTGTAGCAGTGCTGCTCATTTAAATGTTTTTCTATTAGTGCTTTTCATAAAACCTAAAAGCTCTTATATAGAATTCAATTAAGTCTTGGGTTCTCTACTGACAGTTCATATTTCTGCCCTAGAACCTATTAAAATACAAAATCTAATTGTTTCAATGTATAATTAAATGTTTATTTCTTTCATCTCCTATGCAAGTTAATGGCATAAGATATTGTGGTATAGGTAGGGTTTGATCAGAAAAGCAGCAGCAATTAAACTTTGAAGTTGCCCTCAGAACTGTCTGGAGTTGTCTTTACTGGCAAAAATAGAGGTGTTTTTTTTCCTCAGGTACAGCTATGTAGAAAGTATTCTGCAAAATTGAAAATCAAGCTGTTGTATATTGAATGAGAAATTCTTTGATTATCTGTTTATCAAACCCTCTTCCCTTCTGTCCTCTTCTCAGGAAAATCGTAGTCTCACTATCAAATTAAGAAAACGAAAACCATCCAAGAAGGTGGAATGGTCAAGTGATACAGTGGACAATGAGCACTTGGGACGGAGATCTTCCAAATGTGAGTTCTGCCCTTCTCTATCATTGTTTCTTAAAATTCTTCCTCCTTATTTCTCCTGTATTTCTCCTGATGTGAGTGCATCATCCAGTGTGCACTAATTGAGGCTAACTCATTTTTTACATTTTCTTAATCCATCCCTTTCTCAGATCTTACATCTAGATTGTTGGCTTTAGGGTTACTCTCAAGTATTATTAAAGGCCATATGATTCTTCTGTAGACTGGTCACCTTCTAGCATACAATATCAGAACATAAGCATAGGTAATGAAATCAAGTTCCACAGTGTACTGACAAACTAGTGGAAATAGGGGAATAATCCCTGGAAAAAGAGGTGGAGTCCTGTATCATCATATTTGCTGGCCCACACTGGTCCTCTACTGGGAAGCCACTTGCTATAATGGACATGTTCCATGATTGTTTTTTGATGTTTAGAATATAATCTTAAACTTCAGTTGCAACTTGCAGATGATAAGCTTTGGGGACACCAGCTTTGGGGACATTGTAGCCTGGAGAGGATACTAATTGCCTCGATTAACCATAGGTACTTAATAGTACTTACTGAAAATTTGATGAGAAGGCATCTTGAGATGATCACAGGAGGATAGAGATATTACTGTAACAATAAGTGAATTAACTGGAGAGATGCTATTTGTCCTATTTCTAATTACTCTCTGTGGTTCCCTGGCCAAATAAATGAACAACAAGAATTGCTACATAATTCAAACATCATGTAGAGTCTCTACTTTTCCTTGGTGGGTTGGGTATAAAGAGGCTAAGAACTGGCTGTATCGCTTCCATCCTAGCACCGACGTGTGTCAGAAAAGTGAATTATTTGCTCCTGACTCTGCTGATCTGATCCCTATAAATTCATATGGGATAGAGAGAAATGTTCTGAGTTTGAACAAAATCTGCATAGTCTTTTCATTTTCCAAAAGTGAGAATTGTTGGTAGATAAAGTGAGCAAGTGACTATTCTTTTGTCTCCTCTTCCATTGCTATAATTGCTGTTGAATTGTTGTATTTCTGTGCTTATCTCTCTCATGTTTTCTTCCTTCCTTCTGTTCTTCCTTCTTCACTGTCTGCCATTTCCTTCAATTTTTTTTCTTCATGCATCCAATATTTCCATTTCGTATATTTCACTCATTTTGCATTTTATTAAACATTGTCCCATTCCATATCAACGCTCACTTTTCTCTGCATTCACAATGTCTCTTTATTCTTATTTCGTTCTTTTATTTTGTTTTGTTCCACCTTCTTTTTTATGTCCACACTATATTGCCTCTGAGTCCTCTTTACCTTCCCTTCTTGCCATTCCTCTCCACTTCTTCCCTTTTCTCAACACAGGCTGCTGCATCTACGAGAAGCCCCGGGCTTTTAATGAGAGCTCAACAGAAAGCGAAGATGAGGACGATGAAGGCTGTGGCAATGCCCATTGCATCCGAGGCCACAAGAAAAGCCAGCGGGGGAAGGCACAGTCTAAAGCAGGAGATGCTGGCCCAAAGGAGAACAACTCCAAGAAGGTGGAGCTACCTGACCAAAACCATGCAGGCGCCATGCAGCACTGAACCATACTTGGCCATGGGGCAGAGAAGGAGCTCCTCAACTCTCCCCCAAAGGAGGACTGACACTGCCCCAACTGAGGCGAGGGATGAAAAGAAAGGAAGGCCTATACCGCCAGGTCTCAGCTGTTTTGTGCTGGTGCTTCCTTGACTGTGGGTAAAGGGGAGGGAGGGGAGGGAGGGCACGCACACCCAGCTCCACGCCTGTCTTGTGTCAGTGCTGCTACTGTTGTCTCTATCCATCTGTGGCTGGTGAGTCTGTCTGGTGCCACCCATCCTCACCCTGCCCAACGAGGAATGTATTGACAGGACCTTCTTGGGTACTGTGGCTGATTCCCCACCCCCCTGCAACTTAATTAAATATTTGTTATCAGTGATGAATATGACAGGGAGTGGGTCTGCTTTAAGAAGAGCAGTGATAGAGTTTCGACCAAGATCTTTTCTCCTTCCCCTTGTATCCTTCCTCAGTATCTCTGGTTTCTTCCTTTATTGCAGGCTCCTTTCCCATTGGTCTTTTTTTTTTTAGCTCTGTGTAAGAAACCCACAATCCACTCTGTTAATCCTTGCTTGCATTCTTCTTGTGTGCTGAGCCTGCATCACTTTCATTATCAGCTCCACTGCCTCCCACCTGCAGACTCACGCAAACTCACTCGACATAAAGCTGCCTTAAAGATGCAGTCATCAGGTCTCGCCACTCTCTTAGGCTCCTAGTTCCTGGAAAAGGGTAGGTGTTGATGCCACCTCATCAGCGATACACGACAATCTCCACTTGTCTTCTTAAAAGGACATTTTTTTTCCCCCTGTGATTTTTTTTAAATTTTTGTTATATAAACGTCTGTAAGAATTCTTAGTAGTGGGAATGAAAGGAATGGGTACAAAGGACACGGGGGGGTGGTTGGAAACATTGTGAGTCTTACTGATTTGGGGTTGAGAGGAACTTGAAAGATGTAAAAAGGGTGAATGTTTTATGCAAAGGCACAGGCTGATGTATGGACTCAAAAAAAAAAAAAAAAGGAAGTTGGGTCCAGTCTGAAAACCTATGATTGATGAAATTCCCATGGTCATCTTGCACAATCCCTGTATATTCCATTGCTTGGGCAGAATTTCATATTAAATGCCTTTTTTGAAACCACATGGGACTCAGCAGGAGCCTGAGGAATGGGACCTTCCATTGCATGAACATTTGATTATTCTGGCTACCTGTGGTTTGATGTGGGAGAAGAAACAATTGTACGTTCTCAAAATCTTTCTCTTGCCTCCGTGTGCTTATTTTAAGCACCTTCCTGATTAAAAAGAAAAAAAATCACATTCCAAATGTTCACAGCAGTGTAACCCTTTGGACAGGTAAGCAGACTTGAGCTCAGTTTAGTGAGCCTTGCAGGCAGGCATGTTTTTCAGCAGCCACGATGAACTACTTTTTTCAGAAATTAAAGCGGAAGGCGCATGATCATTCTTAGTGGAAACCTTTAAAATATAGGAATACAATCTTGCTCCTTAGTGAGGCTTAACCCCGTTAATTTTTACATTGCTTATTTGCTGAAGTGCGTTCTTGGCTTAAGGAGAAGTCTGTCCAGGAAAGTTTGGGTTTCAGAGAAGCCTCTTGTATTTTGTCTCAACTAGATAAAATTTGGATTACAAAATAACAGAAGAAGGCTGGACCTCCTGGGATTTTGTGATAAACCTCATACTTGGCCATTATTTTTAGACAAGTGCATGGCACAATTTGGTAAATATTGTACTTGGTTGAGCTTATGGACTTCATTATGTGCTCTTTGCACCCCCACCCCACCCCCCCCCCCACACACACACACTACAAACTGTACAGATGTATAGATCTGAGCAGGTTATATAAGCTTCTATAGTATTACTGTCTTTTTTTTTCCCACCAAAGAAGTAAGATATGTGTTTGCTCGTAATCAGCTGACAAAATAGATTGTGCCTCCGTGACTGGCATATTTCATAGCTAACGTTGTAAAACAGGACATTGGATGGGAGAGTTCAGTGGGACTGGCCCAGCAAACACAAGAATTGCTGTATAAAATACGTTTACAGGAAAGCACATAATTAGGCAAAATGACTGGGAGGTCATTTAGACAGTTTCTTGTTGGCCTTGTTGGAAAATAAAATGTTCATATTTTTAAAAACATTAAAATTTATAGTATAGATTCATACATTTGAACTAAAGTCTTGGCTTCCTGGATCCCTGCAGTAACGTAAGAAATGTGGCGCTGAATTTAAGCAACACCACCATCTCAATGTGATGCACTACAGAGTGTCAAATTTTGCATATGACATATTTGTGTCAATTTTTCATACAGCAATTTAATTCTAGTTCATTCAATAAAAGTCATGCTTGGCAGATAAACAAGCTGCCTATCTGAGGATGGTGGCCTTAACATTAAATACCTTAATAGAAATTACACGCACAGTATTGTAGAAAATTGGTAAGCATTAACATTAGGAGACCAGAAACTCACTCGTAGGTGTTTTTTACCCTCTCGACTTGTAAACCTTCTTGCACTTTCAATTTCAACAATTAAGATTTTGCTTAAAACCCTGAGAGTTAGGGTTTTTTTCTATTTTAAAACATTCCTGAAATAGCTCTAATCTAAAGTACATTACCATGAATGGCCAACCAAAGTCACTGGTTATTTGGATAATCCATTGTTTTCATGATCTTGCTACAACTCTCCCTGTTGCTGGGAATTGCTGGGTGTTGTAGTCCTAACACTTGGAAGGCATCCTGTTTTGAAAAACTATGCCAGACTGTCAAGCTCTTGCATCCTGAAGTGCTGAGCCTGTGCCAAAGTTAATGGTTTGAATACTTAAATTGTATGGATTTTGCTGGTTGACATGTCAGATTTGTGTTCATTTGGGATGTTTGGAACTGTGGGAAAGCTGCCTTGAGCTTCATGGAGAAGCAGAATATAAATATACTGAAGAATAAAATGTCTGTTCAATGAATAAGATATAAAGTTCTTAAATGGATGTCCGTCCGAATACAATGCTTTATCTTGATCTGGTAACTAAGGTTTTTAAACCTTTTCCTAAGTTAAGGGTGGGGAGTCCGATTCTCAGTAGCACCTGGTCCCACAGTATGAAGGATTATAAATTGATGTGTTCCTGAGACGTCACCAGCAATCCAGTGGAAGATTTTTGCCTTACCCTGTTCTAGCAGTATTGCAGATGCTCCTATTTTAAGCGTTTGTGCATTTCAGCCAGGAAAATGTTAGTTTGCTTTCCCCATCCCACAGGGCATTAGGAAAAATGTGTCGTTTACTCACAGGCCATGGATTTTGTATGTACAAAGCCCCAAAAGCAAAAACCTCCAGCACAAATATGAAAAAGATGCATCTTATTATTTTTATAGACCAAAAGGGGGAGCAAGGTCACCAAATAAGCATAGTTCTAAAGGAGAATTTTACAAGCATGTGGAGAATAAAGCTATACATTGTTGGGATAAATGTGTTAAAACATGTTTTATTTTGAGTAAGTCATAGCTTCTTGGTTCCTTCACAGCCCAAGCCAAAATCAGAGAAGACATAGTATGGCTTAACACCTTGTGTAGGCCTCTCTACAGACACTTATTAAGATAGCTTATATACCACCTCTGGGGTCAGAAGGAGCAGAGTCCTGAAAATTTAATTATTGGAGGCCACATATCCTGCTTGAAACCTTAAAATATGTGTTTTCTAAGAAAGAAAGTTGGGCTGGATAATTTTTGTTGTGCTGTTGCGTTTTTATAATGTGACAGGTATTTCAGTCTCTGGGGGCAACCTTTCTGTTGACCTCTTCGGTTTTGGATCTGGTGCTGCTTATAAATGGCTCAGTGTGCATTTTGCACTTTAAGAATCTGAAAGGTAATATAAATTCTGCCTCAAGTATAAAGGTCTGTTTTGCATAATTGTTTCTACAATGGCTGACTTGCCCAACTGTGGGATTAGTCTTGTCGAAAAGCGAAAGCTACGCAGTCATCATATATGGCTCTGTTTCGAACAAAATATACTGTAGATTCAGCAGTGATCCAACATACATTGCAACGAAATCGCTCAATTTTAACCGTGGCAGGTTGTGCTTTTCTCTTTTCCCTTTTCTGGTGTTTCCTCCCTTCTTCATAGGGAAGCATGGTCATAACAGCAGATGGATGTCAGCTGCTCTTTACTGTACATATGGTACTCCAGAATGGCAGGACAAGGATGTTTAACTCAAAATGCCGCAGAGGATGCAAATATCTTGATGCTACCCAGCCTCTCTTCTGCCAGATCATTATTATCCATCAGGTGGAGGCAAGGGAGCCAATTGTAACCAATAACATCATTATTACTCAAGATCAAAATGACAAAGCCTTTGCCTGCCATTTCTTTTCTCACATTAGCAACTCACCAAGGCGATAACACAAGCTTAAAACTACATTGTAAGGGGTAAATCCCACTAAAGAAAAATACAGACTTTGGGGCACACAAAGAAAAAGATTTGGCTGCCAACAAAAGCCTAGATATCCAGCTAGGTAGAGATCAGCCATTTAGCAAAAGGTCTCCAAATTGAGGGAGAAAAGTAGGACTGCAGGCTGTCCCTATGTTTCTGTTCACTGCTTGGGCATCTTTCAAAGTTGGTGCTAGGGGCGCCTCTTTCCATTTAAACCGGGCCTGTTCCTATGGCTTTAAGCCAGGGGTGAAATCCAGCAGGTTCTGGAGAACTGGTAGCGAAAATTTTGAGCAGTTCGGAGAACCGGCAAATACCACCTCTGGCTGGCCCCAGAGTGGGGTGGGAATGGAGGTTTTGCAATATCCTTACCCCAGGAGGGGGGGGGGGGGAATGGGGATTTTTCAGTATCCTTCCCTTGGAGTAGAGTGGGAATGGAGATTTTGCAGTATCCTTCCCCTGCCACGCCCACCAAGCCATGCCCACAGAACCAGTAGTAAAAAAATTTGGATTTCCCCACTGCTTTAAGCTGAACCTGCACACATTTACCAGCTGATTCCTCCCCTTTCTGTATCGCACAAATCCTTGGCTCAAGTTACAACGATAAATGACAAGGCTCCAAAGTTTGGTCAAATGGATAACAGTTCAGTACAAGAGAATTGTTGGTATGGGGAGAATCATTTAAAACTCCCTACTTTGAATCTTTCTTCTGAGCAGGTGCAGGCACAGAACTCTAGTGTGCTTGCTATTTATGGGTGTTAGATACAGGAACAAAGATTAAAAAGAAAGAATTAAAAACTGGGAGGAACATTTTTCCTGTGAGACTTCAAAAGGTTTATCAGCCCTTTCCCACTTCTTCTTTTTTTTGTTCCATGTTTTTGATAGAGTGCTCTGCTCAGCTCCAGGTGAATTCCTTTTATTTTCCTATCTTTTCTTAATAAAATAGTACTTTAATGGCTACAAAAACTACTGCTGAAGTTTTTACCTGCCTAGGTAATATAAGAATATCCCACTCTCATCCATGGGATTTCTAGATTAGGCTAATCATATCTGACCAATAAAACTCCAGCCTTCCTGTTTTTTTAATTATTTTTTTTAATTATTATTTGATTTATATGCCACCCTTCTCCGAAGACTCAGGGCGGTTTACAATGCATTAAGCAATAGCCTTCATACTTTTGTATATTTATACAAAAATCAGCTTATTTCCCCCACAGTCTGGGTCCTCATTTTACCTACCTTAGAAAGGATGGAAGGCTGAGTCAACCTTGAGCCTGGTGAGATTTGAACTTGCAGTAATTGCAGGCAGCTGATATTAATAACAGTGCTTTAATCTGCTGCGCTACCAGGGCTCCTGGTTTCTCTGCTGCCATCCAGATTCCTGCCTCCCAAATACACTAGTACGGATAGTCCTCGACTTATGACCTGTCACTTAATGACAGACTTCATTAGGGGCTCTTACGACCATGGTCACAGGTCCACACTTTGGGCGCTCAGCAACCTGGCTGCATGTACAGTCGTTTGAAGTATCCCACGGTTATGTCACGCATGTTTTATGTTTTTTTTCTGAAATGTTACTTCCAGTTTTTTGCAAAACCAGCCCATAGCGAACCCTTGGTTCATTTAACCACGTCGTTTGCTCAACGGCCGCCACAAAAGTTGTAAAATCGGATCAGTCTAATGCAGTGGTTCTCAACCTGTGGGTCGGGACCCCTTTGGGGGTTGAACGACCCTTTCACAGGGGTCGCCTAAGACCATCGGAAAATACATATTTTCAATGGTCTTAGGAACAATTTTATGGTTGGGGGTCACCATAACATGAACTGTATTAAAGGGTCGCGGCATTAGGAAGGTTGAGAACCACTGGTCTAATGGGTGACCCTGATTTTTGACTGCCACGACTTTACAACTGGGATAGGTAGGCTCCATTAGCCATAACTCAAGGACTACGTGTGATATTCTAGAAACAGAGCTGTTGTTTAAAATGACAAGAGACACCCCCACCCCCTTGAAATGGGAGGAAAAGTAGTAGCGGTCGTTTCAAGAGAAATCTTCAGTGTTTTGTGCAAGTGATGCCTTTGCATTCTCCAAGCAGCCTCCATGCCAACATCGGATGGAAACTGGCTGTGCTACAGTAATCAGGTTGTCATCTGCCTTAAAATATATCATTCCCGCATGCTGAGGCTCATGTAGGAACAATTAAATAGGTATTTGAACAGGCCCCAACTTCTGGGATGTATTTGAAGCTAGGCTGTGCCCGAAGGGCCTTTTAGCAATGCATCATAACTGGAGGAGAAGGTGAATTTGTTACAGGAGGTTTTCTACTTGTTTTCCTGCACTTGGAAAGTGATCCAAGGTCAAGGCTCCCTGAAGTTGAGCTCATCGCCTGTTGACTCTATGGGCGCATTCGTGTGGTTTGCCTTGGCAAGTGATTGGAAGGAGCTTTTTTGTTGTTGTTGCTTTCTTCCTGAATGTGGCTTTACTTCTCGGTTTAGCCTCTAGCCCTGGGGGTTCTGGTGGTCTCCCATCCAAGTATTAACCTGGCCTGACCCTGCTGATCTTTCTGGAGTTAGTCAAGGTTGATTAAGCGCTGCCACTATCTGCTGTGCTTCCCCATATTTAGTAGATCACAACTCCCATAAATAGCAGGCATTTGCTTCTGCGGACCAGTAGTCCCTCCGTAAATATGCATAAATCCAGCTGGTTAAACAGCTGGTCTCTAAAACAGTTTCATTTATGTCTTAGGTTTAACCCCAGCGCTGTACCGTTGACATGTCAAGATGGCAATGGGAAATCAAATCAAATCTATTGACTGGCTTCACACATTCTATTAAACCATATTCTCTTTTAATGAAGATTTCTTAAATATGACACAAATGACTAGGTTCATGGCGTTAAGCCACAGTCACACCAAACACATTCTGGCTTGGCTCAACTGCAGAATTACAAGTGAATTGAAACAATTCCGTATTTACATAGCTCTGTAGAATGAACACCTGCGTTGTTTCTTTCTTCATCTCCCCAGTTTTAGCAGTTAAAAATGGTTAAAAATGTTAAAAATGATTGATCAGCTTTCTAAAAGAACTCCAGTATGTTTAGCGACAGCATCAGATTGGACACCTGTGGCTTTCCTAAAGGAATTGTGAAAACGTTTTGGTAGCTGCTGCTAGAAATACCAGGGATAACGATGAAGGAAAAAAACAGTGTTTGCACAACCAGAGAAAGGACTGTTCTCCTTTTCCAGCCCCATTTTTGTAGCCTGATTCCCATTTTTTACTATTGGTAGTCCTCGACACAATGACCACGATTGGGATTGGAACTTCTGTCACTAAGCAAAATTTGCAATCTTTTTGCTGTGATCCTTAAGCGAATCACCCGGTTGTTAAGCAAGCCGGGCTTCCCCCATTGACTTTGCTTGTTTGAAGCCAGCTAGGAAAATCACAGACGGCAGTCATATATGTTGTGGTCCGCCAGCAGCCTGCGAAGCTGGCAGCAGAGTCGAACAGTGAGGAGGCTGGGGAGGTACATGGGCCAGTCCTGGAGTCTGGGGAAGGCCTGGATGAGGGCTCTACGTCAGAGGCAGAGATGGGGCCAGGGCCATCTTAGAGTTATGCGCGGACTCCAGTGCCTCTAGAGTCGGACATCAGAGAGGCAGAGGAACAGGGGGAGCCTGTTCCTAGTGCACACATGCGCAGAGCTACCAGAAGGCAAGAACAGTTAAAACTAAAGGGACGAATCGGGAGTAAGGCCTGGAGATGATTGGCCCCTCCCATAGGCTTAAAAGAGGAGCAAAGGCATGTGTGGGCCCTTTGCAGGAAAGCAACATTGTTAATTCTGTTCCCAGTTGGCATCTCTGTTTGATTCTGGACTCCATGTGGCTTTGCCAAGTAAGTCTTTGGCAGCATGTCAAGGGAGATAAAGGTTGATGATTATCCTGAAGGACTTCTCCCGAACGGCTTTTTGCAATTAATTGGGACTCAGCCCTGAATGAACATAATTCACAGCTGTTGCAATAAAAGAGGTTTTTGGGACTACTCATGTATTTTAATGACTCAGGAACCCTAGATCACAATAATGTGATCCCAGGGCACTGCAACCATCATAACTGGTGGCCACGTCCCAAAATTTGGATCACATGACTGTGGTGATGCTGCAACATAAGAGCAAGAAGGACTGATTGTCAAGTCACTTTTTTCACTAAACAAACCGTTGTAAATTCAAGGATTACCCGTTTTGTGTTGCTAATAGAAAAGCCGGAGCACTCCAAAGATGGCAACATGTCTAATCAGTGTTTTGGATTTCTGACCTCCTGTATTGTTCTGCAGATTGATTGATTGTCCACATTTTTACTGTGCACAGCCTACAGCAGGCATCCCCAAACCTGGCAGCTTTAAGATTTGTGGACTTCAACTCCCAGAATTCTCCAGCCAGCATAGCATATGCTGGAGCATAGCTGGCTGGAGAATTCTGGGAGTTGAAGTCCACAAGTCTTAAAGCTGCCAAGTCTGAAGACCTCTGGCCTAGAGCCTCTTGATGGCTTACTTACATCAAGGATTGTGTGTCCTGCACAGTTGATATCAGAGGAGGGAGGGAGGAGGAAGAAGCAAATCATTTAAATGCTGTACAAGGATCGACTCCAGACTTTACACTTTCAATGATTATTGTTGAAAATTCCAACTCAACATCTCCTGCAAGAAGATGCCCCAGTTGCCATAGCAGTCAGGCTTCTGATTTGCTCTTGGTTTTACATTCAGTCCAGTGCCATGAAAGACCCAAATACATTTACAGTCAAGCAGAAATTAAAAATCACTCTATTAGAGATAAAATAAAAACCATCCAGTATTAACTATGTGACGGTGGTGCAGTCTCCTTATTCATGCATTTCGGTATCATTCAGTAGGGGAACAAGAAAACATGTTAATTCATTTTCAAATAAAAAAGACAAACAAAGGTAGAACACTTCAGATAGCAATAGCACTTAAGAGTTATATACCGCTTCACAGTGCTTTCCAGCCTTCTCTAAGCAGTTTTTCAGAGTCAGCATATTGCCTTCAACAATCTGGGCCCTCATTTTACTGACCTGAGAATGATGGAAGGCTTAGTCAACCATGAGCCGGTCAGAATCGAACTCCTGGCTGTGGGAATGCAGAGTTAGCCCGCAATACTCCATTCTAGCCACTATGCCACCACTTTTGGCAGGATCTGGCTCAACTATATAGAAACTGGTTGGATCAGTGACGTTTCTTTTCTCACCCAAGTCCTGATGTTTCCACCTCTTGATGGTTTAAAGAATGATTGTACGGTGGTCTTCGGCAAATGTGATTTCATGCTGCTCAATGATCGGCATTGAACGGGTTTTTGAATAATACTCAGCTGGTATTTGTTCTTGTTTGCTGAATGAGCCATTGAAGCCTGGTTTGCACATTCTGCTAAACAACAAACAAACCAGGTTACCACTAATCCACACCGTGGCCTCCTTGGTGTACCAAAGTAAGGAACAGCTTGCCTCCTGGGGTTGTGGGTGCTCAGTTGCTGGAGGCTTTCAAGAAAAGATTGGACAGCCATTTGGCTGGGTTAGTACAAGGTCTCCTGCCTTCAGTAGGATTAAAAGACCTTCCAGCCCTATGATTATATGAATGCAGAAGGTGGAAACACCGTTTCCATCAGGAAAGAAGTTGAAGGAAAGTGACCAGTGAAATGAATTCCGGGAGTGAAATGGTAGACAACTAACTCAAGAAGCTCAACCAAAGAAAGGTCCACTACCTCCCCTCAACTCTGACCCAGGAGATTTTAACATAGAGCTCCCTCCTGCCCTGTGCTAGAAGGTTAAAGAAATATTGCCCACAATATTCTGTTAGTTTACAGAAAAATTATACACTTTACAGCTTTTCGCTGACTGGGACTGCTCCTGGTAGTTGTGGCAAGGATGCATTGGTTGCCACACAGGCTTGGTAAAATTGCATTATTTATACCCCTTTCTCTGTTTTGGAGGATTGTAGCTCCAATGCCCTGGTTTCCTATCCATGCCTGACATCAATTCCCCCTCTCCAGATCAATTTTCATTCTAGATTCAGCAGCAACCTAAAAACAAAAACCCACAAGCTTCCGTCTGTCATGTCGCCCACATCTAGTGACATCTGGAGGAGGCAGAGAGGGATTTTTCCAGAGTGCTGATTAGAGCTTCGAAGTCTTTGCCTTAAAGTAAAAAGGCACTTCCATCCAAAAATCTGGTCTGCTCAGTTATGGTTGGTTCTATTGTTAAGGTTCTGTTGAAGTGGATATGAAGAAATGAAGTCCAGATGTTTACAGGCATCAACAGAGGACATTTTTCTCACTGTATCCAGAATTCAGGACTGGCAGCAACATTAATTTCTCCATCCCTTCCAGGCAGTGGGTTTTGGAAACCAGAGAGAGTCACTTGGAAGAGCTCTGGTTGACTATTCAGGTGAAAATGTGTGGTGAAGTATCCAAACATTAGCTATGTAGAAGGGAAAAGAAAGTATAAATCGGAAAGAATGGAGAAGGCAACATTCACATAATTGTTTTGTACCAATGTCTCAGTGGAGAATCAGAGGCTGTTTATAGAAGTTGCCCTTTGGCATGTAAGCTGATGATATGACACATCATTCATACCCTACTAACTTGCAATTGCATCTAGGTGAAGCTCGGTTAATGTTAACCTTGTTTTGTTTTTTAGTAGCTTAGTGTTATGGTTCAATATATTATGCTGTTGTGATATCACAACAGGACTGACAGCCACTCCCCAGCCAAAGAAATACACATCACACACGTTTCAAGCAGAACCTTCCTAAGAAGAGTTGGCCAATGTATCACATAGCCAAATAATTCCCCCATAATTTCTCCCTATCCATGTGGAAAAGCTTTTGTTATTTTGGAAATTGTAAACAAATGTTCTAATAAGAAAAGACAAACCAGAAGCTGTGAGCTGAAATGGAGGCATGGGAGAAAGACAATTCAAAATCAAACTCTGATTAAAAGTGGAATACGTAGGAAGAAAGATTTTTCAGATGCTGTAATGAATTGTAATACCTCTTCAAAGTTACCCATTCTCTAGAGGAATGGGGGGGGGAATAAGAACTGCACTTAAGTTTGTTTTTGTTATTTAAATAATTTATTGTTTCTGGTATCTACTGTCTCTGTACAAGCTCAATCACTACGTATTTTTATGCCACTTGGAATCTTTTTCATCAGTTTTATTTATTCATGGCACTTGGCTTACATCCTGCATCCAATCATTCACCGATTGTGACAGGCTTACATTCCAATCATGTGTAAACAAGGTTAAGATAACAAATGATAAGAATAAATAATATAAATAATAACATATTCTTTATGTGAGGAGTTGTGCCCTGTATATTCTGCTTAGATCATTTTCCCTTGAAGGCCTGTTGAAATAGCCAAGGCTTAATAGCTTTTATGTATGAACAAATACATCACTGAGTGCTTTTTGAGTAAGTACTCAAGGTTAAAAAGCAATGCTGACATTCCCACCCTTTTTAAAACAAGTCAGATTCATTTTGAGATTAGTCTATGCTTCCCCAACAAAGCCAAGGAAGCTTGATTTTTCTAGCTCCAATCTCAATGTTACACTTTTTTCCACTTTTTTGTCAGCTGTGAGGCTCTATTTCTTTCACATACAGGTAGTCCTCTTTTAGCAACCAAAAATAGGACCAAGTGAAACCACAACTGTGCTAATGATGTTACTTCAGCTTTCCTATTCTTTACAGGCTTGTGAAGGTCACAAATGGGAGGACCGGTTGTCAAGTTACATTGTCATCGCCCTCATAGCTGCAAATAGTTGCTAATCAATTTGGTCATTAAACAAGGACTACCTGTATTAGACAATCATTTGTCTCAAATGCTATAGCCCAGGGAGTTGGGCTACAAGATCTCCAAGTCTCTTCCAACTCTATAAGATTGAGAGGTGGGAGATGCAAGGTCCTGCCTTCAATAGAAGATAGATAATAATGGCAAGAACTTCTGATTTGCTTGTCTATGGAGATTCTCAGTCACCCAGGTCATGGTTGTTCCAAAGGTGCTTTTTCAAGAGACAACTGGACTTTCTGGTTTTTCTTTGAAGACGTTTCGCTTCTCATCTAAGAAGCTTCTTCAGGTCTGACTGGATGGTGGGGAATGGAAAGATTTATATTCCTTGCAGAGAGCTGGTCATTTGCATCCTTTTAGAGGGTCATTAAGGCCACCTGGAGGTTTATCTGTGTCCTCAGGATCACCTGAGTGGTGCAAATGGGTGTGGAGCCGCCTTGGAACTGTTGAAAGGACTGTGTTGTAGATTGGAGATAGTCTATGTCGTATCCCTCCCTTTCTGTTAAGAGAAGGCTGTTCAGTTTTGACATAGGTGGCCTCTTTGACCACTCTTTCAAACCAGCGTTCTTCTCTGTTCAAATTCTTCCATTCCCCAGCTGAAGAAGCTTCTTGAATGAGAAGTGAAACGTCTTCAAAGAAAAACCAGAAAGTCCAGTTGCCTCTTGAAAAAAGCACCTTTGGGAAATTTTGATTTGCTTATCCAAAGCAGGTGGGGGTAGGATTTACAGACCCAGAATATCTCTAGAAAATGAGTGTTAAATCCTCCCAACATTTCAACCTATGGATCCAGCTCTGCTACCATGTGTCCAAACCCAGTACGTTGTTCAATTTAGCAAGCAAATGTAAATCAGTTGTAGGATTCAGTCTTTGCAAGTATTAAATAAATCTTGTTTATCAATATTTCCAGTTTCCACAAAGACCACACATTTTTTAAAAAGCAGGATACTATAGACTTTAGCTTTGCTTGTTAAAGAAAATAGATTAGGTGTGCGATGATGTGAAATCTTTCTGCTGGAGACCTGGAGAACACTTTTTCCCAGTTGAGGGATTCATAACTACATCAATTTTTTTTTTTTTTTTTTTTTACAAATAGCTATGCTACCTGGAAGTGGTGGAGTTATGATCTAATAATATCTAAAGACTCAAAAATTATTGTTGATAATACTGAGTTACACAGATGAAAAGCCTGGCAGGATATCAAGCACTTCCTATAAACATAGTTCTCCAAAACTGTAAAAGAAACCCTTCCAGAATGAGTTCACATAAAGCTAAACAATTATATGGATTGTTTTTGTTTTGTTTTAATCACTGGATGTAATGGTATGTGAGAATGACCTCAGGAGACAGAAGAAAGAAACATTATTTAGACAACAGTCTGATAAACAATGTCTGAGTTCAAAGGAGAGGTGGGGATGGAGAAAGCATCCTCCCTACTTTTGGAGAGAAAAGTAAGAGAAGAGAGAGGTACTTTGAGATTTGCAAGCTTCTGTTACTATAACCTTACAATAAAGGCAGTATTCCTGTCTGAAATACCTCAAAGGATTGACATGAGTTTTCCAAATCTCAAAAGTAGCTCTTCCCTCCCTTACTTTTATTTTCCCTGGATTCAGATTTCATTTGAGGGGTCCTTAGTATTCTCTGAGCTTTTTATTTATTTATTTATTTTATTTTATTTTGTCAAGCATGTATAAGATAACAGATATAAGTATAAACATGATTATGAATACATGAAATGGATATGAATAAATGGAGACAGTAGGACAGGGACGGTAGGCATGTTGGTGCGCATGTACAGACCTCTTAGGAATGGGGTGAGGTCAACAGTAGACAGTCTAAGGTTAAATTTATGGAGGTTTGGGGATGAAACCACAGAGTCAGGTAGTACATTCCAGGCATTAATAACTCTGTTACTGAAGTCATATTTTCTGCAGTCTAGTTTGGATTGGTTTACCATGAGTTTGTATCTATTGTGTGCTCGTGTATTGTTGTGGTTAAAGCTGAAGTAGTCATTGAAAGGTAGGACATCGTAGCAGATAATTTTGTGTACTACACTTAGGTCAGACGGAAGGCGGCATAGTTCTATGTTGTCTAAGCCCAAAATTTCAAGCCTGGTGGCATAAGGTATTCTGTTGTGAGCAGAGGAGTGGAGGACTCTTCTCCTGAAATATCTTCTCGTGAAATATCTCTGGACTTGCTCAATTGTATTAATGTCTGATATGCAGTGCGGGTTCCAGACAGATGAGCTATATTCGAGAATTGGTCTAGCAAATGTTTTGTATGCTCTAGTTAGCAGTACAATATTACCAGAGAAGAAGCTATGCAAAATTAGGTTAACAACTCTTAATGCCTTTTTGGCAATGTTGTTACAGTGGGCTCTGGCTCTTAGATCATTAGAGATGAGTACTCCAAGGTCCTTGACAGAGTGAGGGTCATCTACAAGGTAATGTCCACTCAGCTTGTATTTTGTGTTCTGATTTTTTTTGCCAATGTGTAAGACAGAGCATTTGTTGGTTGAGCTTGGTTGTTTTCTTGCAAGAAAACAGCTCAGAGAGCACCAAAGACCCCTCATTTCAATCCCGAGCTACAAATATTCTCCTTTATACTGTAGGTATCAAATTTCATTTATCAGACCATTGTCGAGGCTGCAATTCTTCCTCCTGTCTCCCACAGTCATTTTCACCTTACATTTAGTATGGTGTATGAATGCAGCCATTATAACTTGTAACCTGCAATCTATGCCTTGCTTGTTGTGTCAAATATTCATTAAACCGTATTAAGCAAATTATAGCTTATATGTGATGCATGAATCAGATCTAACCTGGCATAAGAATCACCTAACTGTAGATAAGGTTGCCAGTTTCTGCATGAATCAATTGTCGGGTTCACACGTCGCTTTACGCTATCTTTTGCTTTAAATATGATTTATAAAATAAGCCGTACTTACAATGCCTTAAACCATAAATCACTGTTTGCAAAGCACAATAGCTGAGCTCACACATCATGCTTAGACAGCACCAACAAACCACGTGATATCTTAGTACAACGTGAGAATCAGAGGTGGGTTTCAGCAGGTTCTGACCAGTTCTGGAGAACCGGTAGCGGAAATTTTGAGTAGTTCGGAGAACCGGTAGTAAAAATTCTGACTGGCCCCGCCCCCATCTATTCCCTGCCTCCCAAATCCCAGCTGATCGGGAGGAAATGGGGATTTTTGCCCTTCCCCTGCCACGCCCATCAAGCCACGCCCACCAAGCCTTGCCATGCCCATCAAGCCACGCCCATAGAACCGGTAGTAAAAAAATTTGAAACCCACCACTGCTGTGAATAATGCTTAATGACAGTGATAGGTCATTGGGTTTGGATGCAGCAATTCCAGATTCTGCCTCTGGAAACTCGCTTTAGAAAAATCCCATGTGATGGGAAAATGATATTTTCGGAGTCACCTGAGTCATGAGATGGGCAGCAAATGAATTTGATAAAGAAGCTATGGAATGCATGAATCAATCCCTAACCCTGCAGTTTTCAGCTAGAGAAAAAGTCTGACCTGTTTTAAAGCAGCTTCGTTTGTTCTTTCTGTGTTGCATTCACTATTCTGGCCTTGCTTCTTTCCAGCCATCAGTCTTCGGGCAGGAGGGTTTTGCCATGTCACCATAACTATATGAGAAATCATGGAATAATTCAGAGACAACAAAGTTACTTACATTCAAAATGGAGGTGTGCTCACTGTATCTCTGGTTGAGTGGCTGTGCTGGGTTTGGCATTCTCCACTGAAAAGTATCCTCGGAAAACTCACACAAAATTTCCGGGAGGGTGTGTACATTTTTTCCCCTCACATTTTCTACTAGTAACTCTTTTATGAAGTAGGAGCATAAATGTCTTTTCTTTTTAGAAAGTATCCTAGAGATTCATGAAATACCGGCTTCAAATGCTCACCATTTGGGAAGTATAAATAAGTGTGGTATGCAGAATATAAAATAATTTTAGATTTAAATTCCCAGAAACTGAAGGAAACAAGACAGTTTTAACACTTGGAGCCTAGAAAATAACATTGGTGGAAACTCCTTATGGCCATTTCTTCAGCATTAATTTGTAAATGCCACAGGGTCATCCAGCCATCCTTATAGCGAGATTAAAAAACAACAACCAACCTTCATTATTTATTACGTTGATAAAAGAATGTAAGATGATAGTATAAATCATTAGTAATGAAAAAGCCTATTACTACAGCCTCAGTATTTCAAGATCATGAACAATCTTGCTTATCTCTGCTAGATTCTTGACCATTTCTTTATTTAAGAAACACATCCACTCTGAAATAAGTTTCACCAAGTTCAGAAGGACATGTTCCTAAATAAGACAATAAGGATTCCACAAAAATCTTTTAACTAGATATGATGCTTCATTTAAGCTCTGTCCTACAATTCCATTGTGGCGGTGACTGCCATAAGATCCTAAACCATAGGCAACCCTACAGCAGGGGTGAAATCCAGCAGGTTCTGACAGGTTCTGGAGAACCGGTAGCGGAAATTTTGAGCAGTTCAGAGAACCGGCAAATACCACCTCTGGCTGGCCCCAGAGTGGGGTGGGAATGGAGATTTTGCAATATCCTTCCCCCAGGAATGGGGAGGGAATGGGAATTTTGCAGTATCCTTCCCCTGCCATGCCCACCAAGCCACACCCACCAAGCCACACCATGCCCACCAAACCACGCCCACAGAACTGGTAGTAAAAAAAAAATGGATTTCACCACTGCCCTACGGGCTGGGTATGTACACGTGATTACAGCTGCAATTTAGGCCAATATATTGTATGAATCTGCAAGTTCCATACCTGGTTGGGAGGGGGGGAGGTGTTTCCCAGAGGACAGGAAAGCTCTTGTAATGGTTCCCTGACTGTGGCTAATATTATTTCTTGGTCTTGAGCTTTTTACAATTTTTAATAATGGATGTTTTGATATATTTATATGTTTTCTTTTTTTAATTACCTGTTGTACACCACCCAGAGTCATGTTCTTGTGAGATGGGTGGCTGTACAAATATGAAAAAAAAAATCAATAAAATAAATGAATCCATCTGATGAGATTCAAGTTTTCCCTTCATATATCACGGACCACATACATAAATTCAGGGATTGCGGGGGAAGGTTAAGCCTGATTGACACTTTTGTAAGGTTTTTTTTTGTTTGTTTTGTTTTCAAAAGAAGAAGGAGTGACTCACCAGCTGCAGAATTCTCGGAAGCTTTCCTAGGAAGAGACAAGTAAAGAGGTTAGCATTAGACAGGTAGGATAATGAGGATTATTTTTGCACACCTGTTGATGAAGTCAGGCAAAGCCAAATATAGAGCTCACGGGCAGATTTTTTTGGCCGACAACAGTTTCCCCTTATCTGGCTATATTGAACCAGAGCTTCCCTTCTACCAAGTCAGTTGCATTGTCTTTGTGAAAGATGGGGAAAAAAGAAGATGTAAAACAACTGCTGTTCAAACATGTTGAAAGGTGAAAACCAGCAGCACAAGTTAGAATAGCAATAACAACAGTAATAGCACTTTGACTTATATACCGCTTCACAGTGCTTTACAGCCTTCTCTAAGCTGTTTACAGAGTCAGCCTATTGCCCCCAACAATCTGGGTCCTCATTTTACCCACCTCGGAAGGATGGAAAGCTGAATCAACCTTGAGCCTGGTGAGATTCGATCTGCCAAATTGCAGTCAGCAGAAGTGGCCTGCAGTACTGCACTCTAACCACTGCGCCACCACAGCTCATCATAATAACATGATGATCAATGCATAGTAGAGTGATTGAAAGTGTTGGACTAGGATTGAGGAGCCTCAGGTTTAACCCCTCTTCAACTGCAGAAGCTGAGCCCTACCTCTCACCCCAAGGGCCAAGAGGGGTGAAGATATCAGATGGAGTGGGGAGATCAAGTCTCTCCTCATGGAAACTCCCTAGAGAAATGGGCCAATCAGTCAAGCTCAACCCACTTCATTTCACTGGGCTATTGTGGGAACTGTACACTTTTCATTTGTAAACTGCCCAGAGCCGCTTAGTGAAATAGGTGCTGTATAAATTTGATTATTAAGTAAATAAATAGTAAGTACTTCTGGCGGACAGGCAGGAATCTAATAAATAAATGCCTACTAAGTTGTAGCCTTATTAATAGTAAACAGACAAACTTGTAAAGGAGGACAGTGCTAACTAACAGATGACAGGAACTGCATGAAATATATCCAGGAACAGCAGAAATACCTCCAAGCAAAAGTTCTTCCTTCGACACTCAGCAAATCTCACCAGTATGCAAGTTGGCTACTGAATGGAATTAGGTTACCAGACAAGATGCGTGTTTGACATAAAAGATGATAGTTGCATTCTTACCCAAAGCTTTTTTAAACATCTAGGCTGGGAAATTAATTCCCAAACCATTTGCAGAGCAGTAATTGGAGAATGCTGGACTAGCATAATTTTAAGAAGCAATTTTCAGGTTAGGATAAGGTCAGAGGTGTCCAAGTCCTGTCTGCTTTCTAGTATGGAAAAGCTGGAGAGAATCCAAGCTGGGACTGGTAAAAGCTGGAAAGAGTCTGTTTCTTGAGCTCTTCATGGAAAGATCCATTCTCCAATCTATACGCTAGCCATCCTTGATGTTCTCTCAGCTTGATTGTTTTCTTACAGACTTTTCCTTACCCAAACTGGGTAACTGTCAGTCTTGGAAGCCATCTTTTACTTTGGATCTTCAGGGCTGTCGCATTTAGTGCTGTGGGAAACTGGGAGGGGGGATGGTATGGAGTGGAGTGATATCTAGCTATAATAACTTTCTTTTCTTTGAGAGTCAAGGACATCCTGCCCTGCACCTGGAGTGGGGTGACTGGGAGGCATCTCCAGTTGGGAAGGTGCATTGATTGGACCATGTGATGGACATGTGGGTGCTTGGGGCAGGGAAAACCTGGAAGCATTCAAATTCAGGTTTTCCCAGATGTGCCAATGTGACATCTCTAATAAAATGGAACTTTGAGGAACATCTAGCCTCGGAGTCTTCTTTCATTGGGGGTGTTACTTGGGACCCTGACAGTAACATCATCAGTGCTAGTAAACAGTCAGGTTTGCTGCTCTCAATTTATATTCTAGTGGCTTACCTGTCAGTGTTGGTGGAGGTGGTCTTAGATTCTTTGATTGGGTTGTTGGCTTGTTTGGCAGTTCCTTGATTGAGGTATTATTTATTTGGTTCTTGGTCTGATGTTAATCTTGGAGTTAATCTATACTCATTTGAATGCTGATTGGGAAGGTGTTTTGGTCTTTTTGTTCCCGCTCCTTTTTTTTGGCTTGTCTGTTTTGCACAGTATGTGGATGATGTTTATCTTTGTGACTATTGATGGCCAATTTGTCAGAATGCCAGGCTGCCAGGAATTCTCTAGTATTTGAGGTTTTGGTTTGGTCTAGGATGGTTACAGTTTCCCAGTTGAAAGTGTGGTTAAGTCTGTCCCTATGCTATGAAATTAAAAAGTTGTCGTCATATCTTCTGGCTGCTATTTCATGGATGCGTTCTGCTAGTCTTCTGCTTGTTTGTCCCATATAGTGGCTGTTGCAGTGTTTACACTGTATATGAAGATGACTCCTGTTTTTTCTTCTGTGGCTGCTGAGTCTTTTGTTTTACTTTGTATATTTAGGAGGGCTTTAGTTTGTGTGCTTCTGCTGATTCCGTGTAAATTGTAATAGTCTGATGGTGGTTTCTGAGATGTTTTTGGCAGTGTTACCCTTTTTACAGGTTGTGGGTTTTTGCTATATTGGTTTGATGATGACATTGCATGGACATCAATTTTGTTGGAAGATGCTCTATAGATGATCTATTTCCTTTTTCTACTGTTCAGAGTTGCTGCAATGTGTTTGTGCTCATCGAGTTCTTAACAGTTTCTCTTGTGGGAGGTTGCGTTGTTACTTTGGAAGTGGAGCATTTGATTGATGTGGGTGGTTTTTCAGTACACTTGTATTTCTAGTTTGCCTTCGTAGTCTCTGCTGATCAGGATATCCAGGAAGGGTAGTGAGTTATTTTTTTCTTTCCTGGTGAAGTGGATTTCTTTGAAGAGGTTGTTGATTGTTTTATGGGTGTTCAATAATTGGTCCTTTTTTTATTATGGTGAAGGTGTCATTTACATATCTGATCCATATCTGGGTTGTATTTGTGGGAGTGCTACCGATTCCAGACATTGTATTATGACCTCCATTATGGGTCTTGAAGGCAGTGATCCCATAGGTGCACCTTTGATTTGTTGATAGGTTTGTCCTTCAACTTGAAAGAATATGGTAAGGCAGATTTTGTTAAGATCCATAATCCTGGATATTTCAATCTTTGTGTATTTGGTTAAGTTGAATGTGCGGTTGTCCCGTGTTGTCATAGATTCTTTGGCTAATTCTGAGTCTATGGATGTGAAAAGGTCTGTGATATAAAATGAGACCATGTTGTCATCCTTAGCTATTGTCACGTTTTTCAAGGCACTGTAGTGGAGAGTTGACAGAGTGTTTGCTTCCCTTTGTGAAGATAATTCTCTAAACCCATCATTATAGCTTCCAAATTAACAAGAGCAGAGAAATGATTACAAATGAGGAAAGCCAAATGACTTACAGAGGGTCACTTACATTTTTCCCCAAGTTCAGGTCAATCTAAGCTTACTGGTGTTTTGCTGTAAAATTTATTTATTAAACACATTTATATGGCTACTCAACCCACACATAGGTGACTCCTAGCAGCTTACAAAATTAAAAATCACAGCATAAAACCCATAAAACCCCACTCTTTAGGGCCACCTTTGTTAGCCCAGTTCAATGTAGATGTGCTGAGTTCCTTACATTGGTCCTGATTTATTTTACTTTTAGTTTTAAAAAAAGACCCCCTTTCCCAGTTTTACACACCCAATTCCACAAAAACACACACACACACACAGGCACAAATGTTATTTTAGAGAAATATGTCAAATTTTTAACAAATTATTATTTAACAAATTATTTAACAAATTATTTGTTAATTATTCATTGTTTTATTCTTCTCAGTTACATATGTACAAATAGTAACAATTTTGTATCCCCAAGGTAGGGATTTCATCATCTCCTCCTCCTCCTCCTCCTCCTCCTCCTCCTCCTCCTCTTCCTCCTCCTCCTCCTCCTCCTCCTCTTTTTCATTTATTTTTGTAATGGGGGTAGAAAGGGATTGTTAGTTTTCATTTATTTAAATAAAAAACCTTTCAAAACCAATATTTTTGTGTTCAGAGATCTACAGTTGTTTTCGAATGAGGAAGAAGTTAAAAATTATCCACATAAAAAGACTGACTAATCAGTATTCAAGTTAACATATGCATTCAAGGCAGACTTTCCAGTCTGAGCACTAATATAACAATGCATTAATAGTTTATTACTTATTTATTAGCCATGCCTCCATCAGAGCTCTGGGCGGCGCACAGCACGAAACAATTATATGAAACAATACCTTACAAAAGTTATCAGGTGGATGAGAAAGCTGTAAGAATACCCTAATGGCATTTAAGGAGATGGCTTCCCAATAAATATTGAGAATAATTTCATACATACAAATAAAACCATTCAAAGTTGTAACATTGCGAAAAGGAAGAAAGATCCTCTGTTCACATGCTTATGCTACCCATGATTGCATTTTCAACCTCTAAAGAAAATCTATATGCCCTACAAAATAGAGTAGAATAGAATTCTTTATTGGCCAAGTGTGATTGGACACACAAAGAATTTGTCTTTGGTGCATACACTCTCAGTGTACATAAAAAGATACATTCATCAAGAATCATAAGGCACAACACTTAATAATAGTCATAGGGTAAAAATAAGCAATCAAATCATACTAGGAAACAATCACTATAAATCGTAAGAAAACAAGCAGCAAAGTTACAGTCATAGAGTCATAAGTGGGAGGAGATGGGTGATACGAACGATGAGAAGATTAATAGTAATGCAGACTTAGTAACTAGTTTGACAGTGTTGAGGGAATTATTTGTTTAGCAGAGTGATGGCATTCGGGGAAAAACTGTTCTTGTGTCTAGTTGTCTTGGTGTGCAATGCTCTATAGCATCGTTTTGAGGGCAGGAGTTGAAACAGTTTATGTCCAGGATATATTTATGTCCAGTAAATATTTTCACAGCCCTCTTTTTGACTTGTGCAGTATACAGGTCCTCAATGGAAGGCAGGTTGGTAGCAATTGGTTTTTTTCTGCAGTTCTAATTATCCCCTGATG